ATATTTCTGTAGGATTCCCAGCTTCTACGACAGGCGAAAGATGTTTATATCATTTTGGCTGGGGCTCCTTTACGCATGGCAATGACCAATGAAGATCCATTTGCGTGAAGCCGCTAGCGTCCAGTTATGATTGATCTAACATATGAAATAGCTTAAGCTTGTTGTCTTTTCTGAAATCATCTTGGTCAAAATCGTCGTGCTCTTTCTCCTCCTCCAGACTGTTGGAAGCATTGTTGCTCGTCAGGAGCTCACCTGTTTGGAGATACATCTACCGCAAAGTGACAGTGAAAGATCAACACCACCTTTCAGGCGTATTCTCGAGTATAATAACCAGAAGAAGAGGGAGTCTGGCGGGCAACATCTACCTGTAGAACCCCATATACCGACAGCAGCAAAGAACTAAATCATGTGCTAAATGGAGCCATTTCAAGATTTTCTGGTATAATCCTTCCACCACCATCATTGCCTTTCTCACGTCTTGGATCACAAGCCATGATAAGTAGTAGATGTGTTCAAACAGAATGACAGTGCGCTGAAGTCTCTAGACATCCCACCCAGTTGTGTGTGGCCCAGAGCGGTACCTCCTCTGCTACTACGACTTTCTATAAAACGGACATAAATTACAAAGTGGCTTTAGGTTGGACTTTCTCCGCAATGTAATCCCAGGCTTGACTCGTGCGACTCTTATAGATGACACTTCTGGGAGCGATTTGCGGCAGATGAGCCCATACCGAGCAAGTCGCGGCGACTACGATGTTTGGATAGCAGAAGTGATCATGATAAACACGAAACGTCTGAGGACAGTGACGGATATTGACGACGAAGCGAGTGTATATATCTGTCTATTCGACAGAATCTAGCGTCAGCCGACCTTCTGAATAGCTTTCACTTCCTTCACAGTTTCAGGCTCGCCAACCCGGTTAAATCGTCAAAAAAGACAAAGGCAGACATTGGTTTGTGAAAAGGTAGTTCTACGTCAGACATACTGTTGCGTAGTGACTTGGGAATGCTCATCTCCTCAAAGGTCTGCTTTGAGGAAAGGCAGTCTGCGCTGCGACTATCTGCTTACATAAATGATGCAACACAAATTATGTTAGAGTGGTTCTTCAAATTGATCATAAGTCGGATATCCGTTGTTCTCCAAAACCTCCCCGCTAGAAGCTGATTATACGTTGACAAATGAATGAGCTGGAAAGTGGCAGCCGGTGATGGTAGCTCCGTTCTAAGTATCCTTCACTCTTTCGAAGGACAATACTCCGCCCAAGGCGACAGATACTGGTGATACTTTCATCTTGAGCTAAAGTAGTATTGCCTTGTGTGAGTTGTAGCCTCACTTGTGATGTTTGCATCCCGCATTGCAAGGGATGATCCAATAGAAGACAGACGGAAATGACATCCATTGCTTTGTTGTTTTCAGCCATCACAGCATACTAAAATTATATTTAACCTCGAGCAAGAAAAACTATCAGAGGTGCTGTGATACAGATAAACAGAGGCGAACGCGGCTTGGACGAACAGGGCTTTTTCGGCACACTATATAACGACAGGTCAAGGGTCTTTTAATTTCTCCAGAGAGCCCAGATCCTATTTTTTCTTCAAGCCTTCAGGCTGAGCCTCAGGGAACCTTTTCCGGATTCATGACGACTCGATGGTGAAATACAACCGTTGCTACAGGTCAGCCCAGCACTATCTTCACAGGTGTAGTTTTTCTCAAGCATTCACATGCGAATAACATGAAAGTGGGGGTGAAGAACAACGACGAAACCAAATGTCGCATCATGCAGAGAATGCCTGACTTTACAGAGCCTCACCAGGCGAACCCGCACCAAGTATACGAGACGCGTCTTGCTGACCCCCCCTTTCGAGATGGAACCGACCGTGTCGAGTTGTTTGATTTGAAGTGTGCTGAATGAAGTTCCCAACGTAATAATATACTTGCCGACTGACATATGATGTGTTGACTGCCTCTGTGGTCGTTAGCTGCCTTGTGTCCCAACACCCCCCCTTCTTTAGGAGTATAATTTGAGTCTTTGTGAGGGACTTCCTTTCTTTTCATCAGCAAGAATGGAGGCTGCTGGCAATTCGTCTGTATGCGAGGGTGATATTGGCGGGGATGATTAATACAACACGCAACACCTGACTTCACCTTCATTTTGATCAACTTGACTTTGGCAACATGATAAACTATCACCTCGCTACTTCTAAACATTTCTATACAGCTATTCGCGATGAAATAAGGATTACTCAGGCTTCATACCCCTAGCGATGTTGGTTCGTCATGCTAATCAAACTGTCATTCCCTCTCGACTTTCTAAATACGATGTCCAATTGCGTGTTGAACAAACTTCTTTTCTTATCATACCTTTGTCATGAATCGTCAAACATATGAAAACAAGCCTTGGTCAAAATACCCGGCTGAGTGACATCTCACGGATGCACATTTCCCATCTCCCAGCCCCCAAAACTCCAGTTCCTCCATCTATAGTTATAATCGCTAGCATCTTGACAAATGGGTATCCCAAACTCCTCTACTGCTCCAACTTTGAACGCTGTACCGGCTGATCATGCGCCATCTTCTCCTCTCTCCTCGGCCTCTCGTCGTCGTCACTGCTACTGTGATCAGACACACACGTCGTAGACGGCAAGACATGATCTATGGAGTGCGACGTGATATCGATGGTCGTGCGGACGTTGATCACCGGCCTGGGCCAGGGCTGAGGCTCCCGGTGCTGATACCTCTGCCCGAGATCCGACGACGGCCTGGACTCGGGGTACTCATGCTCGTCGCTGCCCCTGTCTTCCCGGGCTGTCTTGTTGAGCTCGATGTCGGAACCCTCAGGCGACAGCGCCCTCTCGATGTCGTCGTACGTGCGAGCGGTGGAGTCGCTGTGGTCGGTGATACCCTTCGTCCGGGGAGTGGCAGCCTCTTTGTTGATGGGGTGGCCAGAGCTGGGTCCTGAAGGACGGGAGTGTTTGCTGTTTGTGCTCCATCCGAAGCCCCAGCCCTGGAAGAGGGGGCGCATGCTTGTCACTGAAGCGGCGATGATGCCGAGGGCGGGCTCCAGGACGGTCCAGATCGCGATGTCACTGTTGGCAGGGTGTCAGCATTGTATCTGTGATGAGGTGGTGGGCGCACTTACATCGTCTCATACAGGAAGTCCGTGGAGATGGCGAGACGTCTGATGAAGGGGATCCGAATGATGAGGGCCACACCGGCACTGTAATGACGTTAGCGGGGGCGCACGTCAGCTATGAGATCCATTCACTTACACCATGCCCATGCTGAGAAGCACGGCGACCAACGCTTTGGTCCGGCGGTTGAGATTGACATTCCACAACAAGGCTATCGGTAACAACCCGATACACCAGTCCGAAACCGCCGAGATAATGCTGTGCGCGATGGTGGCGTCGGGGACGATGTTGTAGTTGATGCATTTCCCCTTCTCGCCGTATAGCTGTCTCCAAAAGTATGAGGGCGGACTGCACTGGAACGTCATGATGAAGAAGTAGGCGATGGAAATAAGCAAGACGATGGCCATGTTGACGTAGATGACCCATCGGTGGACCTTGTTGAGGGCGAGTCGGAGGAGTAGCAAGCAGATGGACGTTCGGATCGCGAGGGTGATGGGCGAGTAGATGACTTCGCAGATGTACCACGCCCTTAGGGAGATGGCAGCTTGTTCAACCGTGAGCTCTGTGAGGTGTTTCCCAGTGGCGCCTTGGATGACTCCGTGAAGCGCGACGGCGCCGTAGACTGTGTACATGATCTGTCCTTTGTGTGAGTATGACTGACGGGGAATCGAGACATCTCCAGACTTACCATTGCGAGGAAGATGAGGTAGTCATCTGCTCCAACACTCTTAACAATCCGTACCTTTACGTACGCTCTGGCGAGTGTGAAGAGGCCAGCCGCGATGAGGAAAGACAACTGCACTGCGAACAGCGTCATGCCACGGTTGTGGACATCGCCGTGAGCGTCTCGCGCAAAGATTAAACTCGTGTTGTCCATGTTGACAGAATGACAATAGCTTTGTTTGAGGAACAAGGAGAAACCGCCATCAACCGTCCCATGATCATGGGATGGGGAGGGGACTTATAAGTCCAGCCTCCAGGCAAAGTCGTGCCGGCCCCATCTGTCAAAAAAGAACTCCTCTGGTGGGGGGCCTAGGAAAAGAAATTGAAAAAGAAATACGGCGTTCATGGAGGGTTCTCTGGCGGTATGACGGCGAGCGGGTTTCTTGATCAGGTACGTCTGCAAGCCGATGGATTGAGGAGCACACTCGCATCTCCCGTGCAGGGTCGTGCAGGGGTCAGATACTTCCGCGTCCCAGGTTTTGAGTGGTTCGTTGGGAAAGTAAGATCAGGGCCGTCTATATACGGACTGCTTGTATGCATACATGTAGGAACGATATTGCCAGCTGACAGGTGCCCACCTTCGAAGCCCTGGTATGTCTGCGGCCCCGAGTGGCTCCTCTGCAAGTGGTATGCATCTTGAAAGAGGCGAGAATCCACAGCTGGAGAAAAGAAACCCCCACTGTCAGAATTCGGCTACCAACATGATCGAGAGATCAGACGAACAGAGACTGCCGGTGTAACAGGAATCGTGGCTGGACGAGTTGTCTGGAAAAAGGAGTCGGGCAGATACTACTCCCAAATGTTACGACTTCCATGAGAATCGATCGACTAGCGGCGTGAGAAGTGCCGTCGCCAGGCAGAGAAACTGCTCGTGACCAAAGCTCCTCTGACCGGGTCTCTTCATCCTTGATTCCGGGTATCATATGAGACTCGGCTCCTGAAGCAAGATTGAAATATGATATATCTCGCATATCAGTCCTAGGCTTTGAGGGTTGGATCTGAAGCCCACATTGTGGGATCTTGGCGCCGCCTGATCACAACCGTGCTTCTAAGCCTCGATTACCGAAGGCATGATGTGTCACCTTCTGCAAACGCAGAATGTTGCGTGATGCCGAAGATGTCTTAGCTATCACGTCTTGCAGATATCACAGTGGCGGAGGGTCCGTGGCCGTCGAACGATCTGGAGATTCGTCAGTACGCTATGGCCATTCGAATCCCACGAGAAGAAGAAACCATTAAGAACCAGCTTTGGGCCTCAAATTTGGGAACAAAGAGGCCTTCGCTCGATCGCTCACTTCTCGTTTATGATATCCGGTGCGGAGCAAGCTCGATTTTAGCCGTCTGGCTCGTTGCTCTCTATCGACCTGGTCCACATCAGGTTTAAAGTATTACCGCCCCCATCCATTTCGATAAACTTTTCATTTTTCGTATTGCGATCCAGCAAAGTACCGACGGCGATTTCAAAGTTCCGCCTGACCGTGAAATTAGCACGAGGTAGATTGCTGTTGATTCTGATGGGAGACACAGAGCTACCCTGGATGATCCGTCCGAATCCTGCCATCTCCTTAGACTCTCCTCGAGGCAGGGCTGGCAAAGGGTGTCGTACGATTGTAGGAAATAAGGCACGTAAGGTAAAGTGACATGCATATCACCCACATTGCAAGATGGACAGGTGCGATGGGTGGGTAGCAGCCGAGAGCTACATCCCAGGAGTACCGGCCGTAGGCCCAAAGCTCAGCCTTTCCCGCCCCAGGTCCAGGGGTCCTTTACGAGCCACTGGGGCACGTCGGATTGATCGGCCAACGGTCGTGAGCGCTTGGCCTGCGAGGTTGTCGAAAATGTGGGCGCGCAACGGGGAAGACGGCCCAGGCCAAGCCGGCGCAAGAGTCCAAGACTTCAAGTGACCTGTCAAATGCAACAGAGTGGGCAATGAGCAGAGGACCCGGACTGTGAGCAGAAAGGATCGGATTCTGGCCGTATATTCGTAACGGCTGACGGTTACTTCGTATCCGTAGGATGGGCAAGGGAAAAAAGAAAGGTGTTGGCGCTATGCGGAGGGGAAGTCGTGGTGGAGGTCGAGCAGCAACGCTGCGGAGGCCAGGGTGGCACAGGCCCGGGGGACCTCCGGAGGCAGGGGCCGAGGATTCATCTCGCCAATCGATTGGAAGAGGGTAACTGTGCCAGTCACGATACCGAGGGTTCCTACTGGGGCAGATCTCTTGATGCTGGGCGGGTGCCGCGGTGGCATTCGGAGCGGGACATGTTTGCCTGCCAACGTCTCAAAGGTTGCATCTGACAAGAGCTTGGGGCAGCCTACCGGCCGAAGCGCACTTCGAGGAAGGCCTTTGATGTGACCCGGCCTGCGCGGCATCATGCTGTGCTTCAGGTTGCGAGACGCCCAGGGCGACGTCGAGATCTGATCGTGTCGAGGTGACAGCTCACGAAGCGGACCCGGCGCCTCTCGTCCGTCCCTGGTTCCCCGGCTGCACAATGCATTGAGGTGGAATGAACTGTACTGGGCCGGGCCATCAAGTTTTCGTTGCCCTGGCCGAAGCCGCGTACAAAGAAAACTCTGTCGAAATCCTGCAGCCTGTTCCTTTCTTTTGTGGTTTCTCGTGCGATCGATTCGAAGAGTATTTTTCGTCGTCGCTGTTGTTGGACTCGATACACGAGAAATGACCAGCCAAAAAAATGACTCGTCAGTTCAAAGTATGTTTGAGTGGCTCGGAGACCCTCTGTAGTGTCCGCTACTTTGGCAATTATGCGCCGCTACTGACTCGCTCAGTTTCTTTTCTTCATCTCCTCGGGTCTTTTGCAAAATGTCTCTCGGGAGTCGGGAACGGCTTGCAAGCCACGTTCGGACTATGTCGGGCAATGTCTAGCCTTGAGAAATGGCGCAGAGAAGTTGTCTCGTGGTGTAGTGTCGAGGACACCAAAGGTTGCCCGTGTATATTAAAAACTACAGGAGTCACCGTTGTCCTCGATACCCTCCAATTTTGCTTGGGATTCGATACCGTCCACTCAATGCAGGAAATCAGAAGGCTGGACTGCCAATAACAGCTCTAATATACCGTATTGCCATCGCTGCTAACGCCGGCGCTGGCCTCTGGAAAATGAAACTTTTTGGCCCGAGGTCGAGCCGTCGAGGAAAAAGAAAGCGTTCTAGTTTGATGGTCAGATTATGACGTTGCGAACGTGGGTCCCCTCTCGCTTCAGGACACAAGTGGCTGAACAGCGGAGGATTGAGGGGTAGAGCCACGAAAAGTAAAACCACGAACGAATGGAGCTTGGTAAGCGTACTTCGGACGTTCAAGAGGCCTTACGGCTTCGACCTCCGAGAGATGTTCAGAGATGTGCCCCACATTGACACCGATCGCCGTTGAAATCGCGGGTCTGGATTGCGGAGGCGGGGCCGAGATGCACAGACCTTCCGGCCGAAGTCTCCGGACGATCGATCGAAGTCATTACGTCGACATTACCGTAGCGAGACCTTTTGAATCAGTTGATGTGAGTCCTGCACAATGCCGTGTCCCATAACTGTTGTTTCGTACGCACGTGGTAAAATCACTTAGGGCAGTGTAGGAACGAGTGAATACATCAATCGGTTCGTCAAAAAGAAGATACCGTTGAGCGGTGAGTATGGCATCCTGGAGTAAACGCTCCGGCCAAGGCCGTCAGTAGGACTGCACAATCTTTTGCCGCAAAGACACTGATTTTGGTGCATGCATCATGACGGGCAAGGGAGTAGCGCCTGGGCGTCGACCATGTAATGTTCCTGCAATTGCAGTCACGATGACGTCGATGATGAGGTATGTGGATAACCCGCCTGCACCATGCCTTCCTCGGTCGAAGACATATACCGAACGAAACCGCCTTGGAGCTCATTTCAATCGTCCGACGGTGCTTCATTTGTGATTTGCACCTTACCCAAACACCACACTTCAGAGTTTCTCCAGCCCATATTGCAAACCAAGATTACACGAACGCACTTGCGCCAAGATGACGGACAAGTCTCAATTCCAAGAGGGTATGGCACACAATGCCTCTGTTGTAGCACCAGCACTAATTGAACACCAGGCCACAGCGTCCCGGTGACGGATCAGAGCTTCCCAGGAAAGGAGGGAAAGCTGCCCATCACCCCTCAGTTTGATCGCATTCCAGACGGCGATGGCGGCTCAAAGCTTTACCAAGCTGCTGGAAAGCTCAAGGACAAGAAGGCCATCATCACAGGTGGCGACTCGGGTATCGGTAGAGCATCCGCCATTTTGTTCGCAATGGAGGGTGCCGACTCACTCATCGCCTACCTGAAGGAGGAGGAGGAGGATGCACAGGAGACCAAGAAGCGCGTCGAGGCCTACGGCCGAAAGTGCTACCTGGTTCCCACTGACCTTACCGACCGTGCAAACTGCCAAAAGGTCGTCGACGAGGCAATCGAAAAGATGGGCGGCATCGACATTCTGTTCAACAACGCCGCATACCAGATGATGAAGGAGAACATCAAGGACCTCTCCGAGTACGTGAATGACCTTTGTATGTGAGACTCGATCACTGACGGTGCTTTCAGGGACCAATGGGTGCATACGTTCAACGTCAACATCCATTCCTTCTTCTACCTCTCCAAGTACGCCCTGCCTCACATGAAGAAGGGTTCGACCATCATCAACAATGCGAGCATCAACGCCTACATCGGCCGTCCAGACCTGCTTGACTACACGTCGACGAAAGGCGCCATCATCTCATTCACACGAGGCCTGAGCAACCAGTTTGTCGACAAGGGCATTCGTGTCAATGCCATCGCCCCAGGACCCGTCTGGACGCCGCTCATCCCTGCCACGATGAACGAGGAGGCACAGAAGCAATTCACCGCCCCCATGGGCCGTCCAGCGCAGCCCTCTGAGATTGCGACCTGTGTGGTGTTCCTCGCGTCGACTGACAGCTCATGCATCAGCGGCCAGACAATTCACTGCAATGGTGGAACCATCGTCAACGGTTAAGTCGTGAGAGTTGCACACATTGGGCCAGTAGGGCATGTACACTAGTCTAGTGATTAGCTGGTGCAACCAGATGAATGACGTATGACCCATTTAATCTTCGGCTTTACATCCGACGATGCAAGCCTCTTTGCGGGGTAACTTAATCAGGCCAAGCCTTAGTCTCGGTCTGCAATAATGCCTCGCCCATTCATACAGATGGCAAAAGAGACAATCGTGAGCTCGAGTTGTCTAGAAGCTTGCCTCGTTGATCATCCCCAATAATTGCTTGGAGCATCGTTGGAGGCACTGGACGCTGTAGACGGCAGAGCTAACCCGTTCGGGAGGACAGCATGGATGAAACAGGGGACCGGGATGAAACATGCCCAACCACAGGCCTGACAGGCTGCTAGCCAGCTGCTAAAAGGCAGCGGGGACGACGCGCTTTGCATGACCTGCATTTCGAGAGTGGTTCTGATGCATTTTGTGCATATCCGTCCATATTGAGGCGTATTACCACCGGATCGGCGACTTCTTTTCATTGGACGAGATGGACGTCTGCTGTTTGGAGCGAGACCGCAGTAACGGTCGCGCCCCTTTATCTTGCTTTCGTTGTTGACTTGACTTGACGCGACAGAGCCGAGCTTCCGTGTGTTTAGATAGACGTGCCAGTCGGGGAGCCACGGTGGCTTTCCCGGGCAACCATGTGCTGTTGAGTTTCCGTGTCAAAAACGTGTATTTGCTGAGGCTCGTGGTGAGATAGTTTTGCCACGTAAACTCTGCGGCAACAACAACACAGCAGCGCCGATGCAAGCTTACGTTGGGCGGGTTTGATGGCGGCTTAGATAAGAGTCAATGACGGAAGGGCAGTGGATATGTTCGCGTATCTGATTGTTTCACCGCATCACGGGTCGCGGATCTTTTAGCCCCCAGATTCGCAAATTGTCAAAGTGCCTTGCGGACGACGGGGTATCGATGCTGGGCGCAAACCACTCCACGGGTTTCTGCGACATGACAAGTCGAGGCTTTCTTCGGGTCCCGAACATGTTTGGGGAGAGCTTGACGTCGTTCCCGCAGGCAAGGAGCAGGACGGAGTCATGTCGCCGTGTTCTTGGGCGGCGGGATGCAATGCAAACAGAGATCGATGGGAAACTCTATTGAAGCTTGGTGGTATTGCTGCGGGCCGTTGCTAAGGAATGACATTCTGACACGGGGCAGCACCGCGCGACTGGGCAGCATTCTTTGTAGGTACTCTTTTAGGCCGGCAAATAATGCTCTTCCCCCTCCGTCCCCTTTGTCTTCCCAGCAGGCTAGGTAGTGTAATGTAGCTACGGTGCTAAGGTAGTCAGTCGTGATCCAATGACAGGACGGCGCTGACTCTGGGGGCCTGCCAGAAATGGGCCCCTCCCATGGTGCCTCCTCCAAAATGGAAGGCAAGCGTGGGCATGAGCGTGGGACGTGTCGCGCTTTCCCCTTCCTCGTCGCTCCCTTGTCGCAGGCCCATCCCTTCATTTTCCCTCTCCCCCTTCCAGAACAACTCATCTGGTCTGCCACTGCTTGTTTTGGGCTGAGCCACCCACACGTTCTCCATCCGTTGTTTTTTTCCTTGCTTTTTCACTTCTACAACGAGTGTCGCCGTCGACTCCTTCATGCCTCTTGTCCCTCTGGCTTGCTGCTCTGCTTTCTTCTGCCGTATCTGCTTGGGCCCCCCGAGCCGTGCACTCTAGCAGCTGCGAAACCCCACAAGGATCAAGTAAACAAACGAATACCCTACCCTCTGTCGCATCGCATCGCAGTCGCATTCTTCACCCGAATACACCCACGACGCCGGCAACATGTCTGCCACGTACAAGCAGTTTCTGGCTGCTCCCAACTCGTCGCTGCTCGCGCCGAACGCCACCCTCCTCTACATCACCACCACCACCACTATTAACGGACCTACCGACATCATCAAGCACCTCAACACCCAGCGCAACCAGCTGAAGAAGAAGAAGGAGGACATCCTCGACGTCGTTGAGGGTCGCGATGCCATCGCCGCCGAGATTGAGACCTCGCTGGAGTTTGTCACCAGTGGAGGTGCCTACCTGCCTGGCCTTGACGACAACTTCCTGGCTGACCGCACCGTCCATCTGCCAATTGTTTGTCCTGCCCCGCGCTCCAGGAGTCTTTCTACCCTTGAGTGCGCGACCCAGCTAACACGAGGTCCTTCACAGATGCACGTCGTCAACTTTGACAGCGAGGGCAAGATCGCCCAGATCCGCCAAAGCTGGGACCAAGGATCGCTCCTTAAGCAGCTCGACATTATCGGAAAGTCCGGCCGGAACTGGCCCATCCGTGACAGCCAGGAGCAGATCAAGATGATCACCAGGGGCCTGAAGGCCACCGGCAAGGTCACCGACGCCCCCGACACCAACGAGCTCATCAACCGGTCCCGCGGCAGCTCGACCAATGCCCTCCGCGACCCCCATGCCTCCCTCTCTCTGTTTGCGCCGAGAGAGCAGCAGGCTGAAGAGGGCCCGGCCAGGTCCGTCGTGTCACCTTATGCGGGTACCCGACCTCAGCAGCGGTCTTTCAACGATATCATGAGCGACGAGCCTGCCGACGAGCCCGCCTCTCCCAGCGCAGGACGCGATCGCGTGGCTCCCAAGATCGGTGCCGGAAAGAACTTCCAGCCCAGCCGCCTGTTCGACGCGGACGAGCACGCCCACGTTCCCGACAGCCCCGAGGAGAAGACGTCACCCGAGAAGTTCATCCGTCCCAACCCCAAGAAGTTCCAGCACTTTGACTTCGCCGACGGCTCGGACCCGCAAGACACCCCTAAGCCCGCCGAGGGCCGACCCAAGGCCGGCAAGCACGACAGCAGCTGGGGCTTCGAGGACTTTGTCACCCCTCAAAAGGTCAAGCCTACCAAGACTCTGCGCACCCAGGATGTGCGCCACTGGGATACTGACGTGGGCCACACCGACTTGAAGGACACCCCCGCAGCCCGTCCCGTGCAGCAGAAGCCCCGCCGCGATGCCGAGCCGCACTTTGAGTTCCAGGATGACGGTCCGGATGGCCAGCCTCGGCCCGCCGGACGCCCCAAGGGTGCCGCGCACAATACCGGTCTGCACCTCTATGAGAACAACCTGTACAGCGAGGACGGCAAGCCCCTGCCTGGAACCGATTCTGATCAGGCCCTTGGTAACATCACCAACCTGAACAACCGCCACAAGGACTTTGACCCTCACTTCGCCATGTCCGACGACTCTCCCAGCCAGCAGGCCGGCCTTCAGCAACGGCCTGGTGTTAGCGACGCTCGCAAGAAGGCGGTGAACATGATGAACGCCAACTGGGAATCCTACGACCGGTCCCCGGCATCCCAAAAGGAAAACATCGAGCCGGCGCCCACGGGCAAGGCCAAGGGTGGCATTCACATTGCCGGCGACGGCATGGGCTCCAGAAAGGCGGTCGAAGACCAGGACGGCGACAAGCGTGGTATCAACATTGCCGGCGATGGTATGGGCGGCAGGAAAGGCACCAACCGCAACTGGCTGTACGGTGGAGATGACGACGAGGAGGACACCCCGAAGGCCGTTCCGCCCAAGGGAGGTTCCAAGCCCGCTGGTCTGACCGCGGCTCAGAAGAGCTTCTGGGACTTTTAATCGACGCCTCTAGACCGGCCCGCCGCATACACCATACGCGCA